TAAACCCTAAACCCTAAAGAACCCCTTAAAGGAACCCTTAAAGGAACCCTTAAAAGAACCCCGTAACCCCACTTATAACTACCCCTGAACCTCCAAGGAGGCTTCCGAACTCCGGGCGCTCATGCGAGCCAAGGCCGGGTCCAGTCTGAGCAAGAACAAGAAGAACTTCAAAAGCAACACCCCCAACAGTATATGGGTGGTTGTCAAACTTAGGGTCCCTTTTTGGGTCCTTATTATAATACGGCACCTATTATTTAGGGTACCCCAAAAGGGGCCATAATTTTGACAACTACCCATATGAAGCAAACAAAAATAATAGTAATAATGACAAGAATACTCGTAATAGAAATCAGAAATGACATTTCCTAGTTAATCATAATAGTAACGAAAATTATGATAATGATAAGAACAGTAAACATATCTAGTAATAACCGTAAGAATAAGAATAGCAACAGGTTATTGCAATGTTGACATCAACAGCGACAGTAACAATGATAATGATAATCATAAGAATAATATATTGCAAATAACAACAACAGTCATATTGGTAGCATTTATCATAATCATAGATACCGTAATGTAATAGTGGTGGTGGTGATAGTAGTACTAGTAGCTGTCATAGTGATACTCATCATCAAAAAAAGATAGTAATGATAGTAATGACTATAGCGATAAAAATGACAATATTGGCAATAGTGATATGAATGAAAGTTATGCTCATAGTGATAACAACTTGGCCAAGCCCTAGACCCTAAACCGCCAGGGCAACGTGGATAGTGAGTTGGCGGAGCTTCGTGCTTTGCTGGAAGAGAAGGCAGAAGCTGTTCGCAGTTGGTCGGCAGGGAATGACCACTCCCTGCAAGGAGCGCGAGCGTCAAGAGGTTCCGAACTTGCTTTCGATGCTTCCTGGTCTGTCGTGGTGTGCTGTTTTCGAATTTGAATAAGCTGAGCCTGGAGGCCCTGGAGCGAGAGCGGATGATGGCCATCAAGTACAAGGCCATCAACCCTGGGACGCAAAGTGCACCTAGAACCCGAACCCTAAGGCCCGAAACTTAAAACCTTAAATCCTAAGCTTAAAGCCTATTTCCTAAACTTTCAACCCTAAATCCTAAACTTAAAACCCTAAACCCTAAACCTTATTGCCTGAAGCCCTAAAGCCGTAAACCTAAAACCCAAAACGTCATGAACCAAGGCAGCACCAACATTTGTACGCACGCAAGGCCTAAGAAGTCCTACAAAACCCTTATCGTGCTCTAGTAAGTAAGCCTTATAGAAAAACCCTTGTAGTTTCACAGCAATCCGAATGGAAAACACCTTAATGTCACAGCAACCCCCTCCAAAAAAACCTTCCTCGGCCCTGGCTCAGAGGAGCTGGACATCTTCAAGCTCGACATCATCGCCCGCGAGCTCAAGTCCTTGGACAACGAGCTCGGGTTGGTGGGCAAAGAGGCGCTGCAGAAGGGCTTTCCTTTAAAGGGAAGCTAAAAAGGGTTTAGGGTTCAGGCCCCCGAACCCTTAGCAACAGAGCAGAAAAGCCCGAATCGCTGCGAGTGGTGTTAGCCATCAAGCGGAAAGCACCTAAACTGCATTTTCTACTGGCTGCCAATTGCGCCAGGCCAAGTTTCTCCAACAAAGCGCAGGGCGACTGAAAGATTTCGGGGACCAGCAGCAAATCCTTCAGCCTTTTTCTCAGCTCCAGTTGTTGCGAGGGTGTAGCAGCGTTGACGCGGTTTAGACATATACTGAGCCCTGGAGGCATGGAAGCAAGATGCCAGACTCTGAGCATGAGCATTGCATGTGGATGAAGCGCACTGCAGTGAGGGAGGAGGGAGACATCATTGCGGAACGCGAGCACGAAATTTGGAAACCCTTTCCGTAACCGTATTCTTCAAGCAGGAGTCCTTGTCAACTAGACCCGTAGCAGCAAACTGTACAAGTCGAATCTGGCACCCCAGCGATGCAAGTCAAAAGAACATCCGCCTTGTCCCTGTTTCCCAATAACCGACAGTGAATAGTGTAGTATATAGTGTAGTATGAATACAGTATAGTATCGCATGGTATAGTATAGTATGGTATAGTAAAGTACAGTATAGTAGTAGTATAGTAGAGTATGGTATGAATATAGTACAGTACAGTATAGTATAGTATGGTATAGTACAGTCATCAACAGGGAACAGGGGATGCTTTGCGCACCACTTCGGCTCTCGGCCAAAGCCGAGCCCAAAGCGCACCACACAGCGAGCCAAGAGTATGTCCAGGTTGGACCTAAAGCCCTAAACCCTGAAACCCTAAAGCCCTAAACCCCAAACCGTTTAACCCTAAAGCCCTAAAGCCCTAAACCCTAAACCCTAAAAGCCTAAAGCCCTAAACCCTGAACCCAAAAACCCTAAAGCCCTAAACCCTAAGGCCCTAAAGCCCTAAACCCAAAACCCTAAAGCCCTAGAGCCCTAAACCCTAAACCGTAAAACCCTAAAGCCCTAAACCCTAAACCCTAAATATGTCCAGGTTGGATCAGTGCGTGCAGCTTCGCTCACACATCCGGGACCCGAAGATCTGCTGAGCAATGTCTCCTTGGGTCGCTGTAGCGCACGCCATCTCCGTCTCTTAGCACATGATGTCACGATGCCTTGATGCAGGACGTCATCCACAAGTGCCTTTCTGAAACGCAGAAACTGCACATCGGTGCACCGGCAATAGATGATCCCCTGGCTGCAGCAAGCTCAGAGCGCAGCTGCACTGGATGCCCTTCGTTTGACCACCTGATAGCCTAAGCCCAGGCAGGTGAACTGAAGGATGGTGGCGCCATCTGCTCAGCTTCGATCTTGGGGTGTTTTCGGATTGTGTGAGAAAACGTGGTCTCGCAGGTCATGGCCGGCTTCGTTTACGAGGAGGTCGATGTGGAGCTGGCTGGCTTTTTGAGCAGATCCTCACAAGCCTTCACCCCGAAACCTTTTAAGCTTTGGTCCTGGACCCTACCGTTTTCAGAAATCCCTATAACCTTGCTGCTTGTATATGTGCATATCTATATATATATATACACACACATACATACACGATATGTGTTTCGTGTTATGTCATGTTATATTAGGCTAGTTCAGGCTATGTTAGGTCAGTGTGCATACATGTATAGGTATGGGGATGGGTATAGCTAGAAGTATAGGCATTGGTATGTGTGTATATATATATATATATGTACACATGCATAGACATATGCATGTAGTAGTAGTAGTAGTCGTCGTCGTCGTGGTGGTGGTGGTGGTGGTGGTGGTAGTGGTAGTAGTAGCAGTAGTCGTAGTCGTAGTCGCAGTCGCAGTCGTAGTCGTAGTAGTAGTAGTAGTAGTAGTAGTAGTCGTAGTGGTAGTGGTAATGGTAG